TTTCCTTTCCTTTCCTTTCCTTTCCTTTCCTTTCCTTTCCTTTCCTTTCCTTTCCTTTCCTTTCCTTTCCTTTCCTTTCCTTTCCTTTCCTTTCTCCTTCCTTCTCCTCCCACCCCCCTTCTACACTTCTGTTGTGGAGCTTCTTTTTGCTCAAGGCTAGTACTTTACCACTTTGAACCACAGCCTCACTTCTAGTGTTTGAGTAAATTGGAGATGAGACTCTCATGGACTTTTTTCTGCCTTGGCTAGCTTGGAAAGGTGATCCTCAGGTGTGAGCCAGTAGCACCTGGCTAAATCTGTTCTTTGGGATTGTTTTCTGGTCACTTCCTTTATATATCTTTGAATGGGGCCTAGAGTTTTCTTGTTGCACTTCCATTTCAGAATTATGGTCTTTCCCTCTGCCTATTATCACATAATGTGATGCATTTTGGTGAATAGTTTCTAAGTTCTTAGACCTTAGAGTACTTAGACCCATCTTCTTTGTAAATAATTGATGTTCAAATTGAGAATTTGTCACTATGTTTAATCTGTGAATTGTTACTTTTGGTTATCTGATACTTAGCCCAGAGGCACCTAAAGTTCAATCTGTTATATTCAGCAATCTTGGAGAGCCATTGTGGCTTCATTGGTACAGAAAGAAGTTGTTAGGGATTCTAGTAACCAGAATGGTCTGGAGGGACTTATAGTTCTATTTGCTTAGAGCAAGAAAACTGTGCAAATGATTAGTCTGCAAGCTGTTTCTGAATATATTCAGAAGACAAGTGTACTAGCATCCTTGCCTTTGATGGCCCTAAACTGCATCTTTGATGCATTTCATTTGGCAGGCAGTTTATAACACGGTCAGTGATCTGGAAGGAGATAAGTGGTAGATTGAGATGAAGAGTTTTTCTGGCTCTACTTTTTTTTTTTTTTATGAATGCAATAGAGTATATAGCAGGGGGGCCCCTGACTTCCCTGATCAAGGGGCAGCATTTTCTCTCAATTATGTGTCTCTTTCGAAGACCCTTTGCTTTTGAAGTGTAATCACAGTAATCTACTCCTGTGGTTTTCCATTGAAAAGATTTCCTCTGTGTCTTTCCCAGAGTAGAATCTCTGGCTCTTCCTAGCTGTTTCCTACCCTCTTCCTCGTGCTTTTACAGTCTGCTGATACTGGCTTTTCTATTTTGCATGTAGTAGGGGTTTTTCTGTTCTTAAATTGCAACTTTACAATAAAACTGATTAATAAAAATTTAAGGTTCTTTATTACAAGGGATTGAATGGGGGCATGCCATCTTATAACTGCAAATCACAAATCCTTCACAGTGGGTTTTTTTT